TGGAAAGAAGTCAGTGGAGGGGGAAATGATTATATTCTAAAATAAAAATAGATGTAACTATAATACCTAGCACAGAGGTAAGAGAGAAAAGTATGGTATTTACAAAGGAAGAAATGTTTCATATTAGCTGTGCAAATATGATTCAGTTCAATTCTGCTGTTATAAATATTTTCAACTAATGAGATTAGGAATTATGAAATAAATGTTGAGAAATGGATGCATTTAAATTATAGCTTTCTGGAGAGTATCTTGCCCTGACATTATGAAAGCATGCTTCTTGAAGTATTCTTTGACATAGTAGTTTTGGATAAAATACTCAAAGGAAGAGACTCCAAAGGGGAAAAATAGATTTTATACCAGCATTTATGGCTCTGTGGGCTTCTCTTGTGGCTCAGATGGTCAGGAATCTGCCTGCAATGCAGGATACCCAGGTTCAATCCCTGGGTGGGGAAGATCCCCTGGAGAAGGGAATGGCAACCCACTCAACTGTTCTTGCCTGGAGAATTCTTTGGACAGAGGAGCCTGGTGGGCTCATGGGGTCATAAAGAGCCCCTGACACGACTGAGTAACTAACGCATGGTTCTGTGTGTATCATATAAACATTGATATGTTGTTTTTTCCCTGGTGGCTCAGATGGTAAAGTGTCTACCTACAGTGTGGGAGACCCGGGTTCGATCCCCAGGTCGGGAAGATCCTCTGGAGAAGCAAATAGCAACCCACTCCAGTACTCTTGCCTGGAAAATCGCATGGATGGAGGAGCCTGGTAGGCTACAGCCCATGGGGTTGCAAAGAGTCGGACATGACTAAGCAGCTCCACTTTCTATATATGGCATATATAAATAAGTACATAGAGACTTACACATATAAACACACAGATGGAACCAGTTACATGCCCCTGTTGAGAACTGGCAAACGTTAGCAAAATGGAGTACAATCAAGTTATTAAAAATGATAATAAGCCCACACGCTCTCTATTTGGAGATAGCTGCATGAACTGAGAAGCGAAAACTGTGTGGTCCCTGTTTCAAAGACGCAGGGAAGCGCAAGGCTGCCAGCTGCTGCCTCAGGGCCCAGATAAGCTGAGGCAGGAGGAGAGAGAACCCCCAGGAAATACTGACTAAATGAGGCAGTTTCGGGGGAGCAGCGCCGCGAAGATCGCGCACTGTGGAACAGAGTGGGGTGTAGGGCGCAGGGGTGATGATGTTGGGGAGGGTGGTGCGAGGGGGAGGCTTCTGTGAAGGAGCCAGCCAGATGGGGGTGAGGGCGGGGGAGGAGCCCTTCCAGGGTGGGACCTCACTTTGAAGCCTGGTAGTCTGGCTTGTGTGAACCAAGAACAGGCCGGCATGGCCAGTCCTAGGGAATAATTGTATGTTTGCCTGGATTAACTCTGGAGTGGCCGCAATAGCCAGGGTTTATACTTTTTTAGAAGATATATACCTTTATTATTTCATTTATCATGCCCCTTGGCATATGGCATATTAGTTCCCTGACCAGGGATCAAACCCGTGTACCCCCCTGCTGTTGAAGCGCAGAGCTTAACCACTGGACTACCAGAGAAATCCCCAGGCTTTACATTTTTATGATTTAAACGTTTTTATTGTTTAGCTGTGAATTTTTGGTGGAAATACAGAAATAGGTGAACCAGGTGTATGCTTTAAAGAAGAATGAGACAGCAAATATCCACAGACTCACCACTAGGTTACGAATTAAAATAACCTTTGAATCCCCTCGTAGCAGTCTGCTACATCCTCTGCCCTTGTTCCCAGTGGTGAACATCGTGTGACTTTTGAGAGAATGATTCACTTACTGTTTTTAATTGTTCTGTCTGTGTATGCAACCTAAACACAGGGTTTAGTGGAGCTTACTTTGAACTTTATGTGAAACAACCATACTGTGTGGATTCTTTCGCGACTTCCTTCTTTCTCTCCAAATTGTGAGATTAATCTGTGTTGATGCGTGAATTTATATTGTAGAAAATACACATTTGTAAGTGCACATGTGCTAAAGTTTATCTTAGGAATTTACCTGGAAGGACAATTTTAGGTTGTAGGTTCTCATCAAACTTATCAGATAATGCCAAAGTACTTAAAAAGGTAATTATATCAATTTTTGGACTTCCCAAGTGGCTCAGTGATAAAGAATCTGCCTGCCAAGCAGGAGATTCATGTTCTATCCCTGGGTCAGGAAGATCCTCTGGAGAAGGAAATTGCAACCCACTCCAATATTCTTGCCTGGGAAATCCCATGGACAGAGAAGCCTGGCGGGCTACAGTCCATGGGGTTACAAAGAGTCAGACATGACTTAGTGACTAAATCACCATCACCACACACCAATTCTTACCCTTTGCTGGCAGTAAGTGAAAATTTTTGTTGCTTCACATACACCAACTCTTGAGGTTGCCAGACTTACTGATTTTTGCCAGCCTGATGCGTGTACTGAGGTATGTTGAGGTTTTCCTTTCATTTTTATAATCACTAATGAGTTTGAGCACCTTTTCATGTGGTTTTGGGGCCATTTGGATTTCCTTCATTTCATTTTGCAAAGGGCCTATTCAGATGTTTTGCCCAATTTTTTATGGGACTTTCTGCCTTACCTCAGTGACTCATAGCTGCTGTTTGTACCTTTGTGGTATGTGCTTTTTCTTTATTCTCTAATGTCTTTAAAATTTTAATACAGTCAAATTTCATTAACCTTTCTATATTAGTCTATTTATTACTTAGTAACAAATCACCCCCGTGTCTAGCGGCCTAAGCGGCAGTCTTTATTTCAGGTTGGACTCTGCCCGCTGGGCAGTGTGATCTCGTCTGGGCTGCCTCCTTTAAGGCGGGAAGCTCTGCTTCTGTGGGTGGGATGTCTGACCGATGGGGTAATAAGTGAGGGGCCTGGGCCACACATCTTTTACCATTCAGGAGGCTAGCTGGGGCTTGATCACATGGAGGCCAGAGGCTTTCAATGGAGCGGAGCAGGGATGTGCGAAGTTCTCAAGCTGGAGGTTCCGAATTAGCAGTGTCACTTTCATCACATTCTTTTGGCCACAAGGCCAGCCCAGATTCAGGGGGTGGGATAAACTCTACCTATTGCCAAAGGAGCTGAGGAATCTCATTGTAAAGAGAAGCTCCTACAAAGGAGGGGTGGAGAATGAGACCATGCTTGCAACCCATCACGTTTTACATTATGGTTCTGCTTTTGTTCCATACTCCAAGGGTAAGAAATTACGATCCTGTGTCACCTTCTAAAAGGTTTCAGGTTTAGCTTTGGAAGAATGAGGTTTCCAAAACCGTGATAGTGGAGGTTGTTGATAATGAGGGAAGCTATGCATATCAGGGCAGGGGTTCTAGGGAAAACCTTTCTACCTTCTCCACAATTTGCTGTGAACCTGCAACTACCCTAAAATAGAATCTGTTAAGAAAAAGATTAAAAGCACTTCCCCGGCGGTCCAGTGGTTAGGAATCCACCTGCCAATGCAGGGGACCCGGGTTCCGTCTCTGATCTGAGAAGATTCCACATGCAGTATTCCACAGGGCAGCTAAGCCCGTGAGCCACCGCTCCAGAGAGCCCACGTGCCACAGGGAAGAGTCAGCGCCGCCAGAAAAAAATAAACAACCAGACCGTGGGAGCGGCTGCCAGAACTGGTGAGGGTTATTAGGAAGTTTAAGAAGTGAGGAGCAGCAGCTTGTCAGGGAGGGGATTGGGGAACCATTGTGCTTAATGAGTGGAGGTAAAGAGTTGGTTAAAAAGCTTTTTTTTTCCCCCAATGTAAAAATAATAAATTTTTTCTCTCACTCCTTGCTTGTTAGCTATAATACGGTGACTAAGAAAGAGAAGCTTTTTGCTGCTACCATCTTACGCCATCTTATTAGAAACAGCCCTCAGTGTTCATGTCCAGTGCTTCGGTTTCTTGTCCGTGTTTGCTTTTTGTGTGAGCGCCCTGATCAACAGTTATGGACTGGTGTTTTGCTCTTTCAACTTTTCTATTTGCTTGACAGGATGTTTTACTTTAACACAGTCTGTCAGTATTCATTGTAGTGAGCCAGGGGCCATACAGGCTGCAGGCGTGGGGGAGCAGCAGCTTTTAAAGTGCTTTAGAAACAGGATTGTACCCTGTCAAGGGCATGGGTTTTGTACAGACGACTTTGGAAGTGATCAGACCTTTGGTGTTGTAGTAGCTGTGTGATATAGTGCTAGTTATTTAACATCTCTGAGCTTTGGCACTCCATGGTACACTGGGGATAACCTTTATTTATCTCTTAAGAGTATTGAGTGAGGTTAAAGAAATACATATCTTGTAGCATGTTGTGTAGCCTGTAACATAACTGTTAGCCTGTTACAGAAGTAGAACTATTTCCACTATTTTCTATGAATCACCAATCAGGCATAACTGTTAGCCTGTTACAGAAGTAGAACTATTTCCACTATTTTCTATGAATCACCAATCAGGAAAAAAAATAGATGAGGCCCTATAGGTCTTTTGGAGAATGAATTCTTTCTGCCATTTAAGCTTGGCCTTTGGCTTACCTCGCTGCTGCTGTTTGCTTTGAAAGCTCTTTGAATCCCCTGGGTTTCTCCAGCCAGAGTTGGACCATCAGTTAAGGGCATCTGGGGGGCTGACTGGGCTTTGAAATGTTTATATTTGAAATCTCGGCACCTGGTTGGGTGTCATCAAGCCTCGGGACATGCTATCAGGTGTGGTGTGTCCTGGTGATAGCTGGAACTTTTGAATTGGCCCATGTCCTGACCTGTGTGAGTAGAGAACGGGAAAGTGCTTTTGGGAGCAGTATAAATATTTCTCCAGCAGCTGCTCCATCCTAGAACATCGCAGACAAACTCCCAGGGAGTGCCCAGGTGGGCTGCCGGGCCCCGTGGCTGAGGAGCTGGGTTGGGCCTTGTCACAGCTCATGTGGAGGAGAGCTCCACAGCTCTGCTGTCTGAGGAGGAATCAGTTCATGCTAAAGCTTGACTGGAAGCAAGGACGCCCGTGGTCACTCCCTCTTTCTTTCCAGGTCTCTCGGCAGCCCAGCGGAAGTTCGCGCACTCCCTCAGAGACTTCAAATTCGAGTTCATCGGAGATGCAGAGACCGATGATGAACGCTGCATAGGTATGTAAAGATGAGGTTTTGGTTGGCTTTCCTTTGCTTTGGCCATGAAATAATGATGCCTTTCTCCTTACAGATGCTTCCTTGCGTGAATTTTCTAATTTTTTGAAGAATCTGGAAGAACAGAGGGAAATCATGGTGAGTGGTAGGTTGTTAATGAATATGTCCATCTTTAAGTGGGGGGAAATCCAGGTGTAGAAGCTGGTTCTGGGGGAGGTTTTGGTGCATTTATCTGTGGGTGAGTAGTACCTGGTAATGGAAAGAAGCCTGGGTGAGGTTTGGGGAGCCTGGATTTCTAGTTGCCTGGTGGCGCCGCTCATGGTGAGATCTTAGACAAGTTTCTGAACCTCTCGACCAAGGCCCTGTGTCTTCATTTGTAAAAAAAGTGCTTCGAAATGTATCAACACTTCCTAGATTTTTGTTAGCCCTGGAGCAGTTGCATTGAAATAAGTCTCACAAAGAATCATCTTAACATATCAAGAAGATAAAAGCAGGAAACGTATGGAGGGACTTCCCTGGAGGTTTGGTGGTTAAGAATCCATCTGCTAATGCAGGGCACATGGGTTTGATCCCTGGCCTGGGAACTAAGATCCCATGTGTCTTGGGGCCTATAAGCCTGTGAGCTGCAACTGCTGAGCCCATGACACAGTTACTGAGCTTGCATACCTTAGACCCTGTGAGCTGCAACAAGAGAAGCCACTGCAATGAGAAACCCACACGCTGCAACTGGACAGTGGCCCCTACTCACCCCGGTTAGAGAAAGCTCATGTGCAGCAAAAAAGAGCCAGTGCAGTCAACAATTTCTTTCCTTAAAAAAACAATAAAACAGCAACTTACGGGGAGGCAGAGGGATAGCAGGGCAGTGTTGGAACTTGCCTCATTCTTTGGGTTTCTAGGCTGTGTGCAGAGGAAGAGAACGTGAGCCTGCAAGACTTTAAAATCCCACTTTGCCTTGAAATACACGATCACGGCAGTAGCAGCAATAGCTCCCTTCTGTTGAGTGTTCTCCAAGTGCCCAGTGCTATGCTGAGTGCATTGTGAGCATGATCTTCTTTCACATGAATTCTGAGGGCGTTGAATAGTGTTTACCAACATTTCTTAAAAGCTTGTATCTTCCTCCTGACATTAATTCACTCAACAGAGATTCATAGCAGAATCCCCTTTGGATTATGATACACTGTGTTGTCACCAGTTTTTTCAGGCCTTAAAAAAAAATGACAGTCTTATTTTTTTCTGTGTTCTTGAGAATGAGCACTTCCTAGAATTATGTTAAAGTATAAGTGTGTAAGCTGGAGGAGGAAATGGCAACCCACTCCACTGTTCTTGCCTGGAGAATCCCATGGACAGAGGAGCCTGGCGGGCTACGGTCCTGGGGGTTGCAGAGAGTCAGATGTGACTGAGCGACTAAGCACGCACATGTAAGTGTCTAAGTGAGATCAGCTGTGGTTGGTAACACTGCTGATCATGACAGCTAGGAGAACTGACCTTTACCCTCTGCCTGGTACTGGTCTGGGCTGTGTCCCTGTTACTCAGGCCTTTAATTCTCATATCAGCCTTGTGATCCAGACCCTGTGATTGCCCCCTGATTCACAGGTGAGGAAACAGGTGCAGCACCTTGCCCAGGATCACGTGGCAGCTGAGGGCTGCAGTCAGGTCAGGCTAGAACCAGACAGCCTGAACTGCCTGCCATCGCAGCCAGCTTCCTAGATGTTGCTGTCACAAGGCCAGTTGCTGGTCGGGATTTCTAGCTGGTAGAGTTGTAGTAGGAGAAGGAGGAGCGAAGCACTGATTGTTTTTACCCCAAGTTGCACAACCAAGCGTTGTTTATTTTTAAAATCTATCTGTATTAAATTTTTTTATTGGTGTATAGTTAATTTACAATATGGTATTAATTTCAAGTGTACATCAGAGTCAATGAGTTATACATACACAAATACATCTACTCTTTTTAAGATTCTTCTCCCATATAGGCCATTGCAGAGTATTGAGTAGAGTTTTCGGTGCTTGCTATACAGTAGGTCCTTATTAATCTATTTTATATACTGTAGAAAGCGCTGATTTTTTGCTTAAAATAACCAACACCCATGACCTGTAAAGGCTTTAAGGTAATTCACACTGCACCCTAAATTCTGAGATGATTTGTGTCTGTTGTAAATACTGAAGTGGGCACGTGAAGGTGCTGCGTTTGCTCTGGGTTTTTTTCTGGCACAAACTGACATATTCAGCTATTATTAATATGCCCCTGTAGTCACTGATTTTTCAGCTCTTTGGAACAGTCTAAATGTCAGAGTGGATAAAAGTAGTGCCATGAAATCACCCTGTTAGTGCATGCAGTGGGTGTGGGCATGTGGGTGGGGAAAGCACATGTTCTTAGTTAATGTTAATAGTATCGGGTTTTTGTTCTCAGCCCTCTTTGACATTTAGTCCTATTTTCCTGGGATCCAGAGCATTCTGCACATGTGTTTGATCTGCTTTTGTGTTTCAGTTGCTGTTGAGAATCGGAGCGCGCAGAGGCAAACCAAGCAAAGTCCCTGGCCTCAGGGAGGTTACAGTTTGGAAAGGAGGGCTGTAGGCAGACCTAGTGCCAAGTAGCAGTAGGTGCTATAAGAGAGAATTGAGGGGATGCCCTGGAAGTCCAGTGGTTAGGGCTCTGCTCTTAATGCTGAGGGTCTGGGTTCAACTCCTGGTCTGGGAACTAAGATCCCACAAGCCACCTGATGAGGCCAAAAAAAGAAAAACAAAATTGAGAAGGGCAAGGAACCAGGGAGCGGGATGGGGCACCATTGCCTCGAGAGTGGTGCGGGAAGGAAGTGGAGAACTACGAAGGCATCTTGGTACCCAGGGGAGGAGAACTTTAGGCAGAACGGTGCTGAAGTTTAGCTCTACAGAAACACAGGGTGATATTCTGTAGCTGGTGCTCTGTATCCATGGGGTTTGCCTTTGCAGATCAAAAATATTTGAAAAAAGATTCCGGCAAGTTCCAAAAAGTAAAACTTGCATTTTCTACATGCTGACAACTCTGTCTAGCATATACATTGTATTCACAACTATTTACATAGTATTTTCATTAGACCTTATTGTGCTTTTCAGATATTGTGCTTTTATTGCAGGCTTGTGGCGACCTTGTTAAGCACGTCTTTAGGTGCCATTTTTCCAATGAAATTTGCTCCCTTTTTGACTCAGTCACATTTGATAGTTCTTGTTAAAGTTCAAACTTTTTCATCGTTAGTACATTTGTTGTGGCAGTCTGTGATCAGTGATCTTTGATGGGACTATGGCAAAGAGATCACGACTCACTGAAGGCTCAGATGATGGTTAGCATTTTATAGCAGTAAAATGTTTCTAAGTTAAGGTATGTACATTGCTTTTTAAAGGTATAATGCTGTTGCACACTCAATGAACTCGTGGCTTAGATGGTAAAGAATCTGCCTACAACACGGGTGACCCGGGTTTGATCCCTGGGTTGGGAAGATCCCCTGGAGAAGGAAATGGCAAGCTGCCCAAGTATTCTTGCCTTCAGAATCTCATGGACGGAGGAGCCTGGTGGGCTACAGTCCATGGGGTCCCAAAGACTCATACACGACTGAGCAACTAACACGTTCACTTTCGTATTAAGAACATAGCTGTGTATACTGGGAAATCACAAAATATGTGTGACTTGCTTTATTGCAACATTTGCGTTATTACAGTTATCTGGAATTGAGCCTACAATTCCAGTCTTCTAAAATTGAACCTCTGAGGTCTGTCTGCTTGTATTATGTATTGCAAGTCATCTAGAGATGATTTAAAGTATATAGGAGGATATGTATAGGTTATATGCAAGTATTATGCTATTTTTATGTAAGGGACTTCAGCATCCTTGGATTTTGGTGTCCGTGGTGATCCTTGAACAGTCCCCACTGGATTCTGAGGGACAACTGTATCTCTGGTTTCTGTGCCTTGAGACGAATTGGCTGGAATGTGGTCTTAGCTCCGGGCTGTGTGATAAAGAAAGTGTGGTTCTCAGAGCTGTTGGGAAGCTGGCCTGTTGATTGACTCTTCAGCTGTGCTGGGGGTTGCTGGGGCCTCTGTCTCAGGCAGAATGAGAGTGACAGGGCTGGGTTTCCACTGCAGGGTAGAAGTAAGAATGGGATGCTGTCTGTATAAGGTCATGAACCTCAGAAAGGAGTGGGACAGCATGTCACAACCCATGTGTGGGGATCGCCGCTCCCAGACAGCAGGATACAAACCAGAGCCAGAAAGCAGTGGAGGGCGGCCCCCACCAGCCATCGCATGCAGCGGACACCTAATGCTTTCTTAAAATTATTATCTAAACTTTTTAGTTTGGAAAATTTTGAGCATGTGTGAGCAGAGAAATATAATTAAACTACACATCCTCAGTGCTCACCTTCAATAGCCCCTGCCACATAGCCAGTCCTGTTTCTCCTGTACTCCTTACCACTCCACCCCCATTATTTTGACAGAAAGTCCAGTACTATATTGTTTTATCATAACTCTCAAAGATAATGCTCTTTTGAACCACAATATCCTCGTCAAAGATGGGCTCAATAAAGGACAGAAATGATATGGACCTAGCAGAAGCAGAAGATATTAAGAAGAGGTGGCAAGAATGCATAGAAGAACTGTACAAAAAAGATCTTCACGACCCAGTTAATCATGATGGTGTGATCACTCACCTAGAGCCAGACATCCTTGAATGTAAAGTCAAGTGGGCCTTAGGAAGCATCACTATGAACAAAGCTAGTGGAGGTGATGGAATTCCAGTTGAGCTATTTCAAATCCTGAAAGGTGATTCTGTGAAAGTGCTGCACTCAACATGCCAGCATATTTAGAAAACTCAGCAGTGGCCACGGGACTGGAAAAGATCAGTTTTCATGCCAATCCCAAAGAAAGGCAATCCCAAAGAATGCTCAAACTACTGCATAATTGCACTTATCTCACACGCTAGTAAAGTGATGCTCAAAATTCTCCAAGCCAGCCTTCAGCAATACGTAAACCATGAACTTCCAGATGTTCAAGCTGGTTTTAGAAAAGGCAGAGGAACCAGAGATCAAATTGCCAACATCCACTGGATCATCGAAAAAGCAAGAGAGTTTCAGAAAAACATCTATTTCTGCTTTATTGACTATGCCGAAGCC